TTGCATGCACTGTGCAATACAAAATAAGTTAAAATAAAATTGGATTTTAATAGGCCTTTCTCCGTACTCGGGCGCTGGGTAGTCAAGTCTTCGATGAAATTTAGTATTCAAGGTCCTCATATCATCTCATAGATTGTTCCGTCTTTCTTTTCATTCATTAATCCAATCAATCAATTGTTTATTTATTTACTGAAAAACTAAATAAAAGATTAAAGTGGCAGTCTCTAAGTCCCTATTCAGTCCAATACCAAAGCAGTCTCCAATTAGAAGTGAGAAAAAATTACTGTCAATCAAAAAAAATGGAAAAACGTAGAAGAAAATTACAAAACAAAGCTCTAAAGCACTAAAACTCTTCCTCCTGTTTGTTGATTTTTTACCCACATCACTCCAATTTTAACGTTCTTACACTGTCTTCCCATTTCTCAAAGATGAAACTTTAAAATTCTCCTGTTCGTCTATAAATCTCAGAATGGCTTTGCACAAACATACATTATACCTACTAAGAGTGTATCAACCTCCCAGACCTTCTGGGTCTACCGGTTCAATTTTACTTTGCATTAAACAGAACGGGAACCAAACATCAAGAAAAAGCTTTTAGTTCTTATGCTTCACTAATCTGAAACAAACTCACAGAAAATATAAAGATTTTAAATCCCTAAATTGCTTTAAATAAGCATAAAAAAAATAAACAGACTTAAATCAGAGGCAACAAGACTTTTGCTGAGTTTTGTGAGTAAATTAAAGTCAAGAAAATTTTCAAATCAGGAAAACTAAGGTTTCTGAAGCTGAAATATTGCATTTTCAGTCTTTGTGGAGCGTGTTCTTACCTTCTTCATAATGTTTTGTTTTGCCAAACAGGTCCTTGGCCAGGAGCTTCCTGTTATAGCTGACAGGTATACCGTAATAGCGTTCTCTTAAAAAATGTTAAAGAGGATAAAAGACTGCTTGTTACTTTTTGTCCCCTACCCAATCATCAGGTTCAGATCTACTTAATTCCTTAACATATCCTTGGGCCCTCAACTCTTACACAATCATTATCTGCTCTGCTGAACATGTTTGGTGTCTTTTTCAAGACCTTCATTATTTTCATATTTTTATATGTTATGTTTTGATTATGTTTTTATTCTTAAAATCTAAATTTCACATTGGATTATCACAATGCTAAAATATTAAATTCAATATCGATACAAAGGAAACTTTTTACTTGAGACTATTTGTGATACCATGGGGATAAAAAAAAATTACAAGTAATTAAATGCTAAAAATCTATTCCAGTTTTTTCAGTCTCTAAATAGAACTGCAAACAATGGTTGTCTGGAGTAACACAACACACATAGAAACCAATATTTTGACGTATTTAACTACTCAGGTAAACAACCAGTTAAAATGAACATCATACAACTTAAATGATGTTTAAACAGTTAAATTAAAAAGTCTGAAACTGAAAAGT